CCATTTCTGCACGCTAAAATGCTTAAGCAGCCAAACCAGCTTGAGTCCAATTATTTCTTTACTGCGGTATCTTAGCTGTGATTAGTATGTTTATAATGTAGTGTCACTCTCACACTGTCCTTCAAGCATTCTCCTCGCGGCAGGATCCTCTCAAATGAGACGTATTACCCTGTGTGCTGAGTTAACAGAGTGGCCGTACAAGTGAAATCAAAACAAAAAAAAACATAGGGGGAGCTATCACAAGCCATTAAAAGCACTGCACCTTTTTATCACCAGCGGCTTAATGGCAGTGGTGAACAGCAAAGCATTATTGCCGCTTCTCCTTGTGCTCCTGCAGCCTGCCTCCACTGCCAGGAGTCACGCTGCCGCTGCTGACAAATAGATCTCCAGGCAAACACTGACATTTTGTTTTTCAAAAGGTCATTATCTGTCTTCACGGGGGAAGCAGGCGTTTTGCATGGGAACCAAGTTTGAGAGAATGATTTCTTCCTATCAAACTCAGAATGTTTTCCTTCCTCGTTTTTTCCTCATTATTAAATTTTTAAAAGGATGCAGCTGTACAGTGTGTTTGACTACTAAGAGGCACCGGGTCACCCGCTAAAGAAGATCAATATTTGAACTATGCTGTTCTGGGTCAGCATGTACGGGCGTATCAAATTAAATGGGGCTTGAAATTGATTTCAAGTTCTCCTTGAAAAAAAAAAATAAAGTCTACAGGTATTCGTGAAGGAAACGGAGAAGAGCAGGAGTGCCGCAGAGAAGGGATGACCTCCACCCAGGCGCATTCATAATTGTTTTTGTTTCTCCAAATTAAATGAGCCTTATTATTATTATTTCTATAATGCGGTAGCTGGGGGTCCGAAATTGCCAGTTATGGCACGTTTGTTTTTAGAGACCTGAAGTAATATAAAGTAATGGCCGTGATTCAGCACATCACCGCTGGCTACTCCCTTTAACCCTGAGAGGCAACCGGTTATAGTGTGGACCTATACAACTAAAACATGGGCCTTTGTTTTTAGTTCATGTGTTGCATAAAAAGCAGTAGAAGCTAAAACCATTTTGTTTCTTCTGCGTTTTCCTTGCAGGCATCTGAACAGGTATCCCACTGATTACTCTGCTTCTCTCTGGGTAATCTGTAAGAGAGGAGCTCATGCAATTTAGCCCTCCTCCTCATCCTCCCCCCTCCTCCTCCTCCTCTTCCTCCTCACTTTTCCCTCTCCTCAGATGGAGAGTCTAAATATCGCGGCTGTTTCTCGCTGCACTTTGTTAGTGGAGCACGCCTCTGTGTTTTAAAAAAATCATCTATCAAGGTGAGATCTGTGGGAAAGAGCAGCGCCTCGGGCTTCCTCTCCGTGTGCTTATGAGGTTTTATTAGGTCCCACAGGACCACTGCTTTGGTGTGTGTTAAAAACAAATGGAACTTACAAATTACAGATTACAGCCTCCGCAGGCGTGCACAATTTCCTGTGTGTGTGTGTGTGTGTGTGTGTGTGTGTGTGTGTGTGTGTGTGTGTGTGTGTGTGTGTGTGTGTGTGTGTGTGTGTGTGTGTGTGTGTGTGTGTGTGTGTGACTACTGCTGCTGATTCTGGGTGAAGGCTGCATTAGTGATGATAGAAGGGGGGGGGGTTATTCTCAAGATCTTAAGGGGTCCATTGACCCACATAACAAAAAAGAATGAATAAATAAATTCCCACTTCACCTATCTGTCGATGTATCTTACCATCAAGCCTGTCTCATGTGTTATATATTTACATAAAATTCTAAAAGAGCAAATATTTTTGAGAAATTAATGTTACGTTGGACAGATTAGGAAGACAGATTTTGCCGAATCACAAAATGTGTGTGCGTCTCCAGTAGGGATGCCAGCGATTTTTTGAATATTCGTTACAGTCTCCATAATCGAAAATGTCCGATTTTTGAATTTGATCAAGGTCAGTTTCTGGCATCCCTAGTCTCCAGAACCTTCACTGACACATTAAATATATATTTCTACAATATGTTGCATAGTAAACGCAGGGTCTGAACACCTGATCTCCAGTGTNACACACACACACACACACACACACACACACACACACACACACACACACACACACACACACACACACACACACACACACACACACACACACACTCTCTCTCTCTCTCTCTCTCTCTCTCTCTCTCTCTCTCTCTCTCTCTCTCTCTCTCTCTCTCTCTCTCTCTCTCTCTAAAGAAGGCGTCTTTGCCATGTTTGAGTAATGCAAATGTTTTACAAGATGTGTAGCTTTAAAGCTGGCATCATGCAGCGCGAACAGGGAAAGATCATTCATCATGAAGATAGGTTTCATAACTTGTTGTTTTGACGTTATCTGTTTAATAGCTTGTGTGTATAGTGTAGAGACATGAGAGTGGTATCAATGTTCTTATCTAACTCTCAGCAAGAAGGCACATAATGCTCCATTTCCTTTAATAATAAAATGAAAGTGATCACTGATTTATAGATGGAACCTTTCCGGCTTGTCCTTTTTGATAGTTTAATGAGGCCATTAGGGCTACACAGAGCACTTATTTCCATTGCTGATTAACCTGTTCATTATATTCTAAACGAATCGTTTGGTCAGAAAATTGTGGAAAATGTCCACATCCGTTTCTCAAAATACAAGGTCTTTAATTATCATTAGTCAATACCCAACATTATTCCCTTTAATATCATATATTATTGCATTTTCTGACTTTTCTGCTGGAAAAATGAACGATTAATCCATTATGAAAATAGATGCTGATTATGTTTCTTCTACTGCTCTGCTCTAGATAGCATACTATACTATACTATAGCCATTAAGAGCCAAACCCATTACCTTGTTTTTATTCAGGACATCAATGACGGAGTAATGGTTTTAATCTGTGCCTTCTCTGTGTGCTTTCTACCGCCTGAGTCCATTCGTTTCTTCCTTTGAATGATGTCTTACTGTGTTTACTCAGTTTATAATGTCCCCTAATGCAAAAGCTCCTTATAGAAACACACAGTGTGCAAACAGCTGGTTAACAACAGGACTCTCACACACTCTGTGCACATTGAAATGTTCTTATTTGCAATGGGACTCGCTAGCATGTTGCCAAACAGGAGGTTTGTCGTTGCTTGTTTGCTAATAAATGTTACTCACTACAATATTACACAGGAAGTTGCAGGTAGAATAAGAAGTAGAATCTGCACAGCAACGATAAGGTCATAGTGCATCTAGTTGACTAGTTGTATAGAAACATGTCAATTACCGTCCAAACACCTGTTTTAGTCCACAACATTAAGACATCCAGTTTAATGTTATAATTGAGTAAAGAAAAAACATTACGTTTACATTAGAGAAGCTGAAATCAGAGAATATTGAGTTTTTCTTCTTAAAAATTACCCAAACCAATGAATTGATTATTAAAATAGTTGGAGGTAATTCTAATGTTCAACAACTAACCAATATATATGTGTAGGTCTACTTATAGCTCTGTGAAGTACACACACTTGTATATTTGCACCATTAAGTCCCTCCACTATTGTATGTCTAGTATGTAGGAGGACCCTGCCAAATGCTGTAGCTAATGTACATATGACCATAAAGCCTTGGGTCTTAAGGGGTTAAACACACAGTTGAACATACATGACAGAGAAGGAAGCTGAGACAGACCTGCTTCGACTTTATCAGAAACAGGAAGTGGGCAAAACGTTTGAAACAACATGTACTGATTTCTAAAACAAGATGACTTCACTCCAACAACAACTCGCTGCACTGACTCTGACCCACGAGGTCAACCAATCCAATTCCAATTCTTAATTTCCTTCTCAAACAAGACTCTGATTCATTTATTGAACCACTGGTATTTCTCACTAACTGTTTGTTTTTTCTCCCGAGTGTCAGAATCGAAGTGAAGCAAAGACCCTGTTAACTAGAACTGCTGCTGCTGCTGCTTCCTCAGCCTCGTTCAACTCTACCTCTGCTTATTTCTGCAGCTCATTTGCAAGCAGTGCCATGTTTCATTTATGAGTGAGAGCGGGCATGATGTGGATATAAATGTCTGATGCATAAAAATATGTTCAGTAAAGAGACATGTTTGCAATCTTTAAAGGTGGGGTAGGTCATTTTGGAGAAACCAGCTCGAGATCACTAGAATTTGAAAATACACAGCCGGAAGAAATCTGCCACTTCCTCACAGAGCCCCTCCTCCAACACACACGAACGCGCACATGACCAATGAGGGCACGAGATCAGTTTGTGCACAGATGGAAGGCTGACAGGCAGGTAGGCCATCCAGTTACTTTAGCCGGCTCAGATGATTGGTCGTGCTTTTTACAGCGCCACGGCTTCAATGCACTTCAGATATTCATTGCTATCGGGATGTTAAGAGCATTCCATGGAATATAACAAAAAGTGTATCTGGAGCCGGTTTCTCAAACTTACCTACCCCACCTTTAAATGTCTATATATTAGTCCATATGAAGAACAACATGGAGGCAGCTACTCTGAGCAAATTCATCCGTCAAAGCCCTGCTCAGTATTCCCAGCAGACGAAGAAGCATCGTCATGTGAATAAACAACACAAGGCTTAGAGAATATCATAAAATAATCCTCATCCAAAGTAACATTTGGCCTATTTATCAAAGATATCTGACACAGATTCAAGTGTGTCAAGTGTCAATAAAGAGAAAAACAACATGTAGCCTGAGTTTGATCTCCAAAGTCTATCACTTCCAGCCTTTGACATGCAGAGATATGAAAAAGAAGGGACGTAAAAGTCTGAAAAACGTCACAATTCTTCCCTTTCTCCTCTCAATGAATCTTATCTATGCAGAAAACCCAGAGCAAAGACTTCTTCTTCCTCCGACAGAAATAAAACTCAAGGTCAAGTTCACACTCTTGAACAGCACCATCGCTTCCTGTGGCTTTGTTGACTGAGAGAAGTTGTCATTTGAAATGGCGTGGGAGTATAAATGAAAACAGTATCTTGGCATGAAGGACTTCCAAGCAGTGTGTTTTAAGTGCCGTTGTTTAATCAGCCGTTCAGATGCCACGGCAAATAACAAACCTGTCCTTCAGCTGAAGAACCGAGCAGCAGGCGTCAGTGTTTGACCTGAGGGAGCGTTACTCACTGAAAGAGACGACGGCCAGGATGAGTGTGATCACGATGGAGACCCAGGACACCCACAGAGCTTTCTTACGATAACTCTGAGCTTCATGAGGCTTCAGACGCATGCTGCTCTCCAGAAGACCTGCAGACAACATGACTCAGAGAGGGATCGAAACTCAGCTTTGAAGCTCTGTTTCCACATTCAGAACATGTGCATGTATGCAGTATTGAATTAACACAATGAGGCTGCAAAAAATATCATTTCTAACCATCATTACGACGTCTACTTGTGCAATAAACACATTTATTTAGTATTATGAAAGAGAGTATTTTTTGCAGAAAGCAGTATTGGTAGTAAACGTTAATATATAGTTTATCACAGGTAATATCATTATGAAAATATTCAACGTCATCACATAATACATATTTTCCTCTTCCCTAATATCGAACTGATAAGCATTAAACTGACTGAAATCATATGTAAGAGGGATTGTGAGTCATCATATATTTATGAAATATATCACTATAGAGTTTCTACAGCTATGCTATGCTATGATTTAGCTAATCTGCACTTAACACAAAGTACAGCAGGAGATGATGGTACTGTCATTAAGTTACGGGATCATAAACCCCCCCCCCCCGAGGGAAATATCTGAACCAAACTTCCTGGCTATGCATTCAAAAGTTGTCAAGACATCACATTCCTCAGCTAAACATTGATTTTGGTGCAAGGGGTAAAAGCCAAATCAGTCCATAATTATTATTTTATTACACTACTAAATGATTTGTGTGCAATTAAAACCGAAGTTATTTTCCTTTTTCCACAGAAAATCCAGTAACTATGTCCTACTGTTAACAAAATGCACCTCTAAAAATGTAACTAGTGGACTAACTATTTAAGTAACAAAAGAGTCAAATAATTGTAATTAATTAATTAATTAATACAAAATCAATCCCAACTGTGTTTGTTTACAACAGTAAAAAGCTATTGACGAAACAATATTATCTAGAATTGCCAGAAATACAAATATATTGATGCTAATACTTTTACTTGAGTAAGATTTTGAGTACACGACTTTAACTTGTAATGAAGTATTTTTGACACTTCTTCCACCATTATTTTTTAACATGTATCCCACCGCCTACCTCCGTCGTCCAAGCTGTCTGTTATCTTCATCTCCTGGTCCATCTTGAGACCCTCTCCCCGACTTTCAGTGTCTGTCTGCGGCTGCTGCTGCTCCGGGGATTCCTCTTTCTCGCACTGCCCGTTCTCCACAACAACCGGGTCCGAAACGGCGGTGGATTCTGCCGGTGTTAAGTCCGTCATCTTCTGGGCACGTTGCGGTTCCAATTACGCACGCCAAAAATATCTCACCTGGGCGAGAAGTGCAGGCTTTCAACAACGGAGACACCCAGAGACAGAGAGGGGAGGGAGACGCCAGGTCCAGATGCGCAAAAATTGAACACTGTGAGGTGAAGCAAAACCGGAAATTAACAGATGGTTGTTTCAAAACAAAGCAGTGTTGTGCACCTGAACGAAATACAATGTATTTAAAGCGTCCTTCTCTTTTGATTTGGACATAATGTAAAGGCTTGCATTGTCAGTACCGTATTTATGAGACAAAAAGTGCAGACTTTTATTTTTATTTAACCGAAAACGCGGTTGTAGGCTGCAAATTCGGAACTTTACTAAAGTATCCACCTCCTTTTTCCTTACATTACAACAACAGTGCATGCGTAACTGCACTCCATTTAATTTAGCCTGATGCTGCACATTTTAAATGCATAACTTTAACTTGTAAGTCATTTTATTTAATAGCCATTATTTGTATTGGTGGGCTGAAATACACCGGTTAAGACAGGTTTATAGCTAATGCGATGTGTTTACATTCAATTATGCCTTGTTTTTATTACAGTCATTGTCTATCTGTTTATTTTGAAGGCGTTGTGCTGACAACCCTGATGCTCTCTGTTAGGAAACGCCATAGAAAAATATTCACAACAATTCCAAAGCGTCTCTTCTGGGTAAATTCGAGATGTCGTGAAATACCAACACCTGGACTCTAATTACCTGTTGACCCCAGAGGGTGAAGAGGAGTTTTCATCATCATCATCATCATCATCATCATCATCATCATCATCATCATCATCATCATCATCATCATCATCATCATCAATCATCACACAAAGGTCCTGCGTTGATGTGGATGCATTAATGTGTTCACCATAAATGGTTTCTAAGATGAATAACTAATTTATAAGCAGACATTTGTTTTCTCTGCGTAAAAATGACTTCCCCCCTTCCTTTACTTAGATCTATTTATTTAATGACAGACTATTGGTTGCATGTAGTTAATTTAGACTGCTTCTACAGTTTGCCTATGTAAACCTAACAGGTTCCTTGTTTTGTTAGATCACTTGGTGCAGAGGGTTTTTAAACGTACTTGATTTGTGTTCTCTGCTTCCCTTTAGTGGCAGAAAGAGAGCAATGCAGAGCAGAAGATGCTCCACCATGTGGCAACACATTGTACCTGCTTGCATAGGTCAAATATGATGATTTCAATTAGGATAATAAAGACGTTTTTACGAAGCCTTATCCAACAACATACTGTAATGCATAAAAAGCACAACTTTGGGCTGGATAGTCTTAATTATATTGTTCAAATATTTGCAATATATGTCAACAAGCAATCTGCAATTATAAAGAGACGTTGTGCCAACAATAAACATGCACTGTTAATAAGATAAAAATGCAATATGATTAGAATAAACACTTATTTCTAAGGGGCAGTACAGTGAACTCTAGTGGCTAAACTAGATATTTCAGCTCTTATTGCTATAGTGAAAATGACCAAAACTGTCCAACTTTTATTCTGCATTATACCACACCGGATCTCACCTGGTTTTAATGTTCTACACTGCTGTTTGTAATATCTATACTGCCTTATACTGTTGTTAGTGGACATGATGTCAGATGTATTACATTAAACATCACTTTACTGCTGTTTTAAGGTTTTTGGTTCTGATTTCTGTTGTTCTTGAATAAAAACACTCGATGCTCTTTGCACCACCAGCATCTTGGGTGCGCTGTGCAGAAAGCAGTCCACCGGTAAAACCCATCTCGTCCTTCCGGTGCCCCCTCACTCCCTCCCGATGCTAGCACCGTCTTGGCTGCGGGAGCGTAATGGCGGTGCACCGGGGACCCTCCACCAAATGGATCTTCTCCCGGGAGCAGCTGGACAACACGCCGTCCCGACGCACCGGAATCGAGGGCGACCGGGAGCTCTCTTACCGGCAACAAGCGGCCAATTTAATCCAAGATATCGGCCAGAGACTCAACGTGTATCCTTCCAAAAAAAAAAACCTCCAGGCTAACCGGCCCACTGGTGTTAGCTCCTGTTAGCATTAGCTTCAAGAAACACCCAAACCGCAACACGTGTTAAAAGTCGTTTTTTAGACAATCAAAACAGACGGAAAATCTTTTACTTACAGATTTCTAAAGGGTTGTTTACGTCGGATTGCAATGTGTTTATATCCAGCCTGCAGGAAACGTGAAGGCCTGCCTGCTAGTTAGCTTAGCTATTGTTGTGTCTCTTACTGCAGTCCATTGTTAGCTTTGTGTCTTATGATATCTGTAATCAGAGTCAGCTTTAATGCCAAGTAGCTTTACATATACAAGGAATTTGTTTTGGTGTATATGATGCATACATATACACACAGGTAAAGAGGATTTCAAGTAAGTAAGAAAACAACCATTTATATAGAAAAAAGCTGTTATTCGTCAAGATGTAGACAATTATTTCAGCAAAAGTAAAAAGGCACAATATTAATTAAGAGGCAGGCATAAGATATTAGAGATAGACCTAACACCATTTACAGAACCAGCAATCCAGTTCGACACCAGTAATTAACAGTATTTTAAATAAAAACTAGCATGTAGAAGTAGTCTGATAGTGAAAATAATATTGCACAGTTATTAGAGATTGTGTTACAGAAGTAGAATAGTCTTAACTAAGAGATAACAGGCAGTACACACCATAATTATAAAGTGATATATATTGCACATAAGTGATATTGCATGATTAATAATACTGTCAGCCCTTATTTCATTATGTGGTTTCGCAGGATGCACGTTTTTCTATGCTTTTACAACCAATTAGCACTTAGTGTATATCATCCATGTGTCATTCCTTAACTGCTCACCCAGCTCCCAATTGATTATCAACACTGCTATAGTATATATGCACAGATTTTATATGATTCACTCCTTCAGCAAATTCCATAGAAATGTAAGTACGACTGCAGTGTTTGCTGATGCTATAATTACTGCTGGTGCCGCCTATGAAAACTGACTGAGGTTTTTTTTTCTTCTTCTGTTTAGGTTATTTCTCAGACTACGCTGTTCCTGGCAGCTAAAGTTGAGGAACAGCCCAGAAAGCTGGAGCATGTCATTAAAATAGCCCATGCCTACATTAACCCTCAAGAGCCTCCCCTAGACCCTAAGAGCAACGTAAGTAAACCATGGAGTAAACATTCATGCAATTGTTACATCATCATCTGTATAGATTGTCATTTTTAAGCTTCACGTTGCTGCGTTTCTTTGTTTGATATAATAATCAGTATTAAATATCCCTCTTTAAGCACCCTTCCTCGACCCTTTACAGCAGGGGTGTCAAACTCAAATACACAGTGGGCCGAAATTAAGAAATGGGTACTAGTCGAGGGCCGGACTGGTTCAATGTTTATTGCAGAACTTATTGAAATGAACTTATTGCACATATTAAACCTGGAACTAACAAAGCTTAAAGGAGACCTATCATGCTATATTTAAATGATATAGTGTATGACCATACCTATATAAGGTATATTTATACATTTTATTTTTCAAAATACCAAACAGATCATTTTTTAGCCATGCCTCGTTTCGCTCATTTTCGCTCTATTCCAAGCCTGTCTTTGAAAATTCTGAGCAGCAGCTGACCACGCCCCCCTGCAGAAGAGGGGGGCATGAGCCGGCGAGAGTCACGTTGCCATGTTTGCTGTGATTACGAGTGTGGAATAAACATGTCATCTCAGAGCAATGCATGTGTTCAAGCATATTATCAATTTGATCCAGAAACTGACCCTGAAGCAGCGGAGGTTTTGGTGGAGGTGCAAACATCTCGGTTGCAGCAGGACGTTTCTGAATGGTTTGTTGACAGCATACTTGTCAACCCTCCCGATTTTCGCGGGAGACTCCCGATGTCATTGCCCTCTCCCGGTTTCCTCCCGGGGTCATATTTCTCCCGATTTCTGACAAAATCAGATTTACACCTATGATTTACACACGACTGTTTCCACTCAGACTTTAATACAGCTACACCATTGATTGGTTTCCATGGTAACACGCAACTCAAAGTCTGAGAGGGTGAGGAAGATATTCACAGAAAACAGAACAAGAATCGACAACTACTCTACTCTCTGCTCACTCCTTTCCTGTAAAATACAGGTCCAGCCCACACATATGCTCCATCAAGGACGGTGCTACAGGCCGCAAGGCAGTGCACTTACAACTACAATAAGCATGTTAATGTAACAGCTCCGGCGATCCACTAGCA